TTTAGGGTTCAGGGTTTAGGGCCCCATACACCCTACGCCCGCAGCAAAACAGGACAGAGCCCGAACACTCCGACATTGGCACCTTTGGCAATCGCTCCAGGTAAGCCGCCAGGACCTCTCCCCAGATTCTCCAGCATCCCCAAACCCTAAACCCTAAATTTCAATAAACCCTAAACCCTAAACCAAACCCTAAATTCATTAGGGATCCTTCTTCAATTTAAAAACATACACAGGTTCAGGGAGCTTTCTGAAAGCTAGGGGCGGGTTTACCCCGTTCTTCTGAGCTTGCAAACAAGTGGGCCACAGGAGTGCAAAATGATTGATTTAGGGTTTAGGGTTTAGGTACCATCAGCCCAAATCAGGGTTTAGGGTTTAGTACCTAAATAATATTAGGACCCCCGAAGCCTGAACTCTAACTAGTTGGGTTGTCTGCGGTTGCAGCGCAGGTTTGGGGCCTGGACCTAACGCGTGCACACCCAAAAAAGGGGATAAGCCCTGTATGCGCCTGTCAAGTCAGCACTTCGATGGCCCTACACGTCAATGCCCACGAAACCGATACTGTCTGGGCATCTAAGGTTACCTGAAACCAAAAACCAAGTTTTTTGACATCATAACAGTCATCAAGCTAAGAAGTCCCCCCAACCCAAAGTAGCCTGTATCATTAACAGGTTTGAAGCGCCTACAGTTCAGGGTTCAGGGTTCACTCTGCGTACACCCCCGCCCCCACATACTCGCACAAGATAAGGCAAGAGCACGTTCTCGCGAGGGTTTGGGGGTTAGCAAGAGCATGCTCGGACCAAACCAGCTAGCCCGTACTCCCCAAGATTCACAAAAAATGAACCCTACACCCTGAAGCCCATACCATGCACTCTCCTCGCAGTCGCCCTGCAACGCACAACCCCGTCACCCAACCCCAAACCTGTCGAAATCACAAAGGCCAAATCCAAAGCCTTAAGTTTTAGGGATGTTTAGGGCCTAGCTCTAGGTTGTTATGAAGGCTTTAAAGTCAAGATCTAAAGCCCCTGTATAGTAGAAGCCAACAGCCCCTCACTCCCATGCCATAACTACAGAGTCAAGCCGCTAAACCCTCAAACCCCAACCAACACAGCGATAAAGCTTCAAAAGCCCTAGACCCCTTAAAGCTAGAACCCCATGGAACCCGCTGAACCCTGAAAGACCCCCGTGTCGAATATGAAATCCACGGTCGTATCATCTTCTAACGAAGCCCTACAAGCATTCTTAAGACCAATTCTGAAGACCTTTACACAAAACCCAGAATCAGAAAGCCGCAAGAAAACTCAGAGATCGCTGCGCGTCCCGTCAACACAAACCCTACTTACCCTGTGCAAAAATCCCATAACAGCCAGCAACAAAAACACCCTGCAACCCAAAGCCCCACAGAACCCTCATAGAACCTCTCTAGATCCTCGCCCTTATGCTTCCCAAAGCCCCCCTGGCCGGAACCTCCCAAAACCCACCCAAAAAACCGGTAATCCCTAAACCCTAAACCCTAAACCCACCCAAAAACCGGTAATTGGGTCCGCCGACCTCCGGCGCGGCTTTCGCATCCGCGCTCAAGGAGCTCCGGTCTCGGGTTTAGGACATTTTGCTTGAGGGCTTAGGGTTTAGGGTTTAGGGTTTAGGGTTTAGCCACCCCAAACTTTAAACCTAAACTCTAAACCCTAAACCCCTAAACTCTAAACGTGCAGAGGACGCAATAATGAGATACTTGGGCCACGGTTTAGGGTGAAGGGCTTAGGGTTTATAAGGTTTAGTAATGCAGGCTAGTGCTTAGTATTACGCCAAACAGCCCAAAACGTCCTAACTGGAAGCTAGGATCTTTGAGAAAGCTCCGCTTGCCGACGCTTCTTGCTTGCTGGCTACTTGCTGTCCCGGGTTGCGCCAGCGCTGCCCGGGGACTTCGCAAAAAGCTCCTCCAACGGCCTACTTTGTAATCAAGGCTGCGACGGCTTCCAATGCCGTTGTTTAAGCTGAGCTAACAAGGGGCTGCACTAAGTCGGTGGCCTGTGCAATGTCGTATTGAGGTGCTGCGACTTCACAGACGATGATGTCACATACGACGCTCCCTTGTATGCGAACACACCATGAACAATGCCAGTGTCTTCTGTCCAAAGCCCCCCCAATCCAATTTAAGAATTAGGGGTAAATCCAAAGCTCTAAAGAATCAGGGGCAAACCCTAAACCCTAAAGAGTTAGGGGTAAAGTATTTATGAATAGGTACCTCTGTAATCACCACAAGCGAAGTTGTTAAGCTTCCCAAAGTGCCCGCTAGTGAATGGTTCATGGTTGATGCTTGTTCCAAATCTAGCCAGGTATATGGTCCCAAATAATCGGTACTTAGAGTCTAATAGAGGGTATAGATGGAAGGTCTCTGTACTAAACCCTAAATCCCAAACCCCTATAACTTAGACCCCGAAGGCCCTATAATCCCTAAACCCCTAAACCCTAAACCCCAAACCCTAAACCCTAAACCCCTAAACCCTATAAGCCCAAAAGCCCTAACCCCTAAACCCTAAGCCCCATACCCGGACATTCCGAGGACCGGTCCGAATCCAGCCTCGACAGCCTCGCGCACGCCCGCGCCCTCTTCCGTGTGGACTTTTGGGATTTGGGCTGTTTGGTTTAGGGTTTTCTGGGGTGTAGGGTTTAGGGTTAAGGGTTCAGGGTTTACTGGGGTTTAGGGTTTAGGGGTAAGGGTTTAGGGTTTTTGGGGTGTAGGGTTTAGGGGTTATAGGGTTTAGGGTTGAGGGTTCAATATTGCCTATGGGCTCTTAAGGTCACGGCTTGGGATTTGGGAACTAACCATGAACGATCGGAGAGGACCTTCTCATCTTGCAGGCACACGGCAAAGTCAGATGAACTGATGTCAACAATTCGGGAAGCAGTGCTGTTTCCACAGGAGCTGCCTGTCCTCTGGTTTTGTTGCCCTGAGCCCTAAAGCCTAAACCCTAAACCCTAAACCCTAAACCCTAAAACTCTAAACCCTGAACCCTAAACCCTAAAACCCTAAACCCAAAACCCGGGTTTCAGGGTTTCTGCGCCTTTCTTGGTTTCAGGTCGTGGAGGGCTTGCAGGGAGCTGACAGGTTTCTGCTCTCGGTTTTCCGGCTGGTGATGAGCCTGACCTCAGTGTACCATACCATCCGGGGTTTAGGGTTTAGGGTTTAGGGTTTAGGGTTTAGGGTTGATTTTGAGGGTCCTAGCATAATCCATCTACCCTGGGGCTCCAGTAACTTAAATAGTAGGTTACTGGGGTACATAATATAGGGTTAGCAACCTACTATTTAGGTAACTGGAGCCCTTGGGTACTATAACATCCTGATTTGCAGGGTCCTAGCATAATCCATCAGTGGAATTTACAGGCTTACAGTTACAAAAGCGTAGGTTCTGGTGGGGTAAGCTAACGGCATTCCCTTCAGGGGTTGGGCTAACGGGGCGGAACCTGTGGACTCTTTTCTCGCCTGACATCTGTCCTCCGTGACACATCTACGTGCTCACACCTGCCATGAAGATGGTCATTTGGCAGGCGAAGCATACGGTACATGCTTCACTCAGATGGGAAGCCCCACGCGGGTTCTTTGGCAAGTGTGCCGCACACCAACCACCCGCAACGTTTCAAAAGGCCCACGTCGGGCTCTACGATTCAAAGCAGTCAAAGCTGCGTGTCGAGTCAGAAGCCAGCGACATTGACACTCCATCAGTGGATCCATGCAAGCCCGATGCCAGACCAGCATACTAGTTACTGGCGGCACTCGGCTGTCTGGCGGCCAACATGTTGGCCGCCGTTCGAGCTGACAGCCTTGCATGTAGGCACCTAAATGGGGGTTTCCGAAAATAGGGGACCCTAATATAGCACCCTAAATAATAGGATCCTTATTATAAGGACCCCAAAATAAGGTTCCCTAATTTTCGGAAACTCCCAAATAGGATCCACGGTCTTAGGCC